GAGGCAGGCAGTGACACTATTGAGCTATATGGCCCAATATGGTTAATCTTAAGAATCTTTTGAGTAATGGAAAATAAGTGTATTCTGCTGTTGTTGTATACAGCATTCTGTAAATGCCAATTATTTCGAGTTGGTTGATTGCTTTATTCAGGAATTCACTATCTTCATTGATTTTCTGTTCAATTCTTCTATCAATTCCTCACCTGTAGGCCAGGTGTGGTGGCACATGCCTGTAGTCCCAGCACTCAGGAGGCTGAGGCAGGAGGTCATTCTCCATTTCTGAATGAAGTTCCATATTCTAAATAAAGTTGATATGCAGAATTTTTGCATGAATATACATATCCACTCTGGGGTAGACAGTAAACAGCACAGTTGCCAGATCATATGACAAACACACAGGCAGTTCAGATAAGAAACACAGCATACTCTATTCCTAGAGTGGGTTTATTTTACATTCTGACCAACAATGAAATTAGTCATCTATTTTCTTCATATCCTCACCAGTTAGGCTGTCCTCCAACTTCAGCAGGTCAAGAAATATGGCCCAAGGAGAACAAGATAAGGCCAGATGGCCTGAGGGCAATGGTCCTTCCACGTCCTTGGTGTTATAGTCCATACCAGTCCTTTTGGAAGTAGTTGCACACAAACAGGTTTTGTAAATCCTTTCTCTGGAGCTCCAGCCACCAGATGTGGGGTTGGATTTGGTAATTTTGCTTGCTGTAGAGTTCTACGAGCCCAACAAGAAGGGAAAGATTGCCCAGGCCATATAAGTTATCTTTATCCATCCTTTTTATATTTGGTACTGGGGATTGAACTCTGGACCTTGCACTTGTGAGGCAGGCCTCAGAACCACTGAGCTAAATCCCCAGCCCTAATTTTTATATTTTATATTTTAACTTTTATATTTCTAGAGGACAGTACATCAATCTCACATTTTTATCCAATATGAAAGAATGCCTTTTATACTATTTAAACCATTTACATTAAGTGCAGTTATCATATGGTTTGGTTTGAAACTACCAAGTTGCACTTTTTTTGTTCCATCTGGTCTTTATTACTATATATATTATATATAGCAACTGTATATATTTATGGGCTGTTCTTTCCTTTTCTTTCACTTTTACAGTTTCTAACATTTAACTTTATTGTTAGGTGTCATGGCACACACCTGTAATCTCAGCACCCCAGAGGCTGAGAAGGAACATCTCAAATTCGAGACCAGCCTAGGCTACACAGTGAGTTCAAGGCCAGCCTGAATTACAAAGCAAAATCCCCTCTCAAAAACAAACAAAATCTATTATCAAATCTATTGGCTTCTTGCTGGGTGTGGTGGCACACACCTGTAATCTCAACATTTGGGAGGCCAAGGCAAGATCTGGGCTAGTGAGTTCAAGTCCAGCCTGAACTACACAGTGAGACTCTGTCTCAAAAAAAACACAAAAACCTATTGGCTTCTTAAATATACAGTGCTTACTCAACTCATATAGTTCTCAACCAGGAGTGGCAGGTGACAATGTATGGAAACATTATTACCAAAACTGGACAAGAGAGACAGGTACTACATGTACTTAGGGATCAAGGCTAGGAGTGCCACTAAGCATTACAGGATGCACAGGATAGCACTCCACTACAAAGAATTATCTGGTTCAAACGTCATTAGGGCCAAGATTCAGAAACTGTTTTTAGGTGTAAAACACATGCCTTTAGCTTATAAAACTTTACCTGTACCATAAAACTAGCAGTATACTTCCATTTCTCCACTTCTTTGTCTTATAATTTACATCAAATCTGCAATTCATTATGATTTTAGTAATAAAGTGTGTTTCCAAATGGGAAGCCTTTCACTCACATACTTTCCATTTCCTTTCACTCTTTTGTGTAAAAATTTCTAATTTTTCTGCCTACTTTCTTTAACATTTCTAGATCTTCTGGCAATTGTGTTGACTGAAACAGGATTTACTTAAAACATTGTCATACTAGGTAAAAAAATTATGATTTTTTTTTCATTCACTACTTTCAAAAAAATCTTTTTTTCAGGCTTATTTCTTGGAGGAAGTATTCTGGAAGAAATATGTATCATCTACTTTCCACACTGCTTTAAGATTTTTGCCATGTGTTTTTAGCAATTTTATTATGAACAGTATGATGTGATATTCTCGAGCTCATTGAGCATTTATCTCAGAGTTTTTCAACCAAGAAATGTTATCAGTATGTATTAAATTGCTTTTGTACACTACTCCTAATATCCTGAGTACATGAATATATTCTACAAATCACTGAATTTTTTCTATTTTATTTTGCAAAATACCTAGTTACATCTTTAAATTCATTAACAATTTCTTTCATAGTTTAATCTGCTGTTCATCCACATGGTGTCTGAAGTATATCTCTTAACTTTCATTTAGGTGTATTTTTATGACTTTTTAATCAGTTTTCTAAAAATTTATATACAGTAATTATAACACATCTTAGTACAATCGTCTAATTTTACGTTTGTAAATGTTATGTAATTTTTCTAATGTGTTTTATAATCATGCATCTTTGTATGCATAGCAATTATTATAAGATGGTGTAATTTATATTGTATGTTGCATTTGTTTGGGGCCCTTCAGTGTTGGACTTTGATGTGGCATTCAGTAATGTTACTTGGCAGTTTTTCCTTTCAAGGCTTGCTTTTAAACTTTCAGTGTGAGACCAGAGAAGTTTTTAGTCTAGGTCTGATTATTAGTCTCACTATTGAGGTCATAGCATTCTGAACTGTTTTCTTATTTACTCATATTTCTATGTGGGAGGGTAAAAACAAACATCCTGTTTGGGGTAAACTCAAGGAGTATTTGTATACTTCTTTGTAGTTTTTCTACCCAAACCCTCAGGCAGTTTCAGGTCTATACACCTCAGGACTCAAAAGGTTTAAAATCTTTCTCCAAATCTTTGCCTTGCGTGTCTCCCATACTGTGCCACGTTTCTCCCATACTGTGCCACGTAGATTCTAGTCACATTGGATTGAGTGTATCCTTAGTCCCTGTAAGTGAATAGTCATAGTGCTTATCTCCTTGCATATCTTCTGAGATCTTAGTCTTGGCACTGCCTGCTTGCCATGAAAACTGGGTTGTACTTGTCATACAGGTATGATCAAAAGATATGATGAATGCTTAAATTTTAAAAATTTTATTACAATAAAGACACATTGCCATTAAACACCCTCAAAATCCTTCCCCACTTCACACTTATCCTATCATTCTTGGCAACATCTTTTACTGTAGTTTTAAAATTTTTTAAAAATTCACTATTTATCATCCATTTTATGTTGTTCTAGTTCTACTTGTTAAAAATAAAGGATGCTCATGTCTTATTAGTGCCCAAGGCAGAAACAGCCACATTGATTCTTAATTTAATGGGTTATATCTTTTGTAAAAAAAAAATTTATTTTGGGAGGGGTCTATGTGTTTATTTCTTTATGTTTTTGAGGCAGGGCCTCACTATGTACTTCAGGCTGGCTTTGAACTATGTGCTCAGGCTGGCCTTGAACTCATGACCCTCCTGACTCAGCCTCTTGAGTACTGGGATTATAGGCATGCACACGTGCCTGGCTAAATTTTTATTTTTATTGGTACATATTTGCAATACATAATGATTATATTTCTCATAGGGAGTTGGCACATGTGCATAACACATCTTTTATCCTCTTCCCCTCTAATGGTTATATCTTAGACTGTATAACAATACCAGAGAGTAGGTGGGTAAAAACATAGACATTTGTTTCTCCTAGTTCTAAAGCTAACAGTTTGAAATCAGGGTGCCAATGTGGTTAGGTTTTTGGGGAGGCTCCTCCACCTGACTTACAAAATGACTATCTTGATAAATCCTTACATGGCAGAGAGAGGAAGGGTTCTGGTCTCCTCACCTGCTTATAAGGACACTAATCCCACCACTGCCTCACCTAGCCAATATCTCCCAAAGGCCTCACCTCCAAATACTATCACATTGGGCAACAGGGCTTTAATACAAGAATTTGGGTTGGGGTAGACACAAATATTCTGAGAGGAGATTATAATCAGATGCCATCAATATTTACTTCGTAGTTTTGCTTTTTAGGTACTGAGGATTGAACACAGGGTTTCTGCACTAAGCAACAGCCTCAGCCCTTTTTTTATTTTGATATAATTCTATAGCAATAAATTTCATAATTCCTAGTTTTTAAAAAAGCTTTTTCAACTCAGAAAGTCAGACCCCCCCTCCCCAATTTTAAAGACCCAATACAAACATGGGCATTTGAAATGAATAGACACTTCTCAGCTGAAGTAAAAACAGCAAATATATGAAAAAATGTTCAACATCACTAGTCATTCGAGAAATACAAATTAAAACAACTCTGAGATTCCATCTCACTCCAGAAATGGCTGCTACCAAGAAATCAGCCAATAAATGCTAGAGGGGGCGTGGGGGAAAAGGATCCCTTCTCCACTGTTGATGGGAGTGTAGACTGGTGCAACCACTGTGGAAATCAGTGTGGAGATTCTTCAAAAACCTAAAACTAGAGGTCCTATTTGACCCAGGTATTCCCCTTCCTGGTATCTTCTCGAAAGAACTGAAAGCATCATACCACAGAGATATATGCACACCCATGTTTATAGCAGCACAGTTTGTAATAGCTAAATCTTGAAACAGCCCACATGCCCATCAACTGATGAATGGATAAAGACGTAGCTTTTTTATACAATGGAGTACTACTCTGCCATAAAGGATGTGCTTCAGACATTTATAGCTAAATGGATAGACCTTGAGACCATACTCCTAAGTGAAATAAATCGGACACACGTGTCTAAATACCACATCATTTCTCTGGTGTGAGAAAATGAAAGTGGAAATAAGGACTAAAATGTATAATAGATATTGGGAAATGGGAAGAAAATGTTCAAATGGGAAGGGAAAAAAAGGAGGAGGGAGGAAGGAAGGGACAAGGAAAAAAGTGAAAACAGAAAAAATGGAAACAAAGCTTTTGTACATAGGGAGGGGAGGGGGTTTGAGGGGAGGCAGAATGGGAAAAAAGAGGCGGGATGTATCATGTACAGGTGCAAATTCCCTGAGTGTTATCATTACGTACGCCTAAAATGTACCAATAATTTTTTTGCTACTAAAAATATTTTTAAAAGCTTTTTCTTTACAGACAACATGAAGGTCTGTGGAGAAAATCCCATGGAATTTGCAAACAAAACAAAGCAACAACAAAAACAAATACTAGTTTACAGGATAGGAAATCAATATATAAGATGTAATTATACCTCTCTGCATTGGTAAACAACTAGAAATTGATATTTTATAAAGAATATTCTTTACATGACCATCAGCCATAAAATTAAAAATTAACATACATACCAAATGTTGAGGGTACAGAATTGGAATCAGATAATGCTACTAAAAATGTAACACGGTACAACCTCTTTGGAAGTTGGTCAGTCTGTAGAATGATAAACATTTACCTCCATTTAATACAGGCGTTGGGGCCAGGGATGTAGATCAGTGGCACCGTGCCTGCCTGGCAAGCGCAAGGTCCTGAGTTCGATCTCCGGTACCGGGGGGGGGGAAAAACAGGCATTGTACTTCTAGGTATTAACTAGTACAAAATTGCTAATTACAACTTTTTTATAAGCCTTTACTGGAACCAATCCAAAGGTCCAGTAACAGATGAACAGAATATCATGTTATGACATATCCATACCCCCAAAAATAGTAATAGAGAACACAAAAACTCATACATGCAACATGGATGAATCTCCAAGTGATGAGTGAAAAAAAGGAGTAAACATTTTATGATGTTATTTATATAAAATCCTAGAAAGGCCAAACTAGTTTATACTGACAGTAAATCACTGGTCATGGAGATGAGGAGCCAGGGAAGAAAAGAGGGATTCCGCATGATTATACAAGGTAACTTTGCAAGTGATGGGATACGTTATCATACTTGTGGTGGTTTCATGGATTTCTACATATGTTAAGACACTTATTTTTTAAGTCTATAATTTATATCAATTATATCTCAATATACAGTCAAAAAAGGTTCTATATAAAAATGTGGATTTTCTACTCCTCAAAAAACCATATTGGGCAAACATATTGACTCCACTATAATTCTCTTCATCCTTTAAGAAGACTATCAATGAAGGATATTTCTACATGAGACACAAGTCTTTTATTTCTGGACTATAGTATTTCTTCTGTGGCTCCATTTTCCTGCCAATGCAGCAGTGGCCTTGAAGTGAATAGCCCAAGCAAGCTTTGGGAATCCAGAAAAACCTTTAGGTTATTTGCTCTGCCAGTCACCATGGCCATAGGTAATATATAAGTCCAATGGTCCTGAGTTTATCTGCATACTCTCATCTCTTAGAGCTTTGATGACTGGACTAGATTATTTGTGGAAGCACCTTTATGTGGGGTAAACCCCTGGAGCTTGCTAGTCACCCCCAACTGTCATTTATATATAGTGTTCAGGTTCAATTATAATTATGCTTAAACAACTTGTGATTTGCCTCCAGGGAATAGGAAAAAGGCCACCAAAGTGTGTGCTCACTGAGCATATTGGGGTTATATGATTCATATTTCTCAAGTGGCAGAGGTGAGGAGCCTTCAGCCAAAGGTACTGGCATTGATGTAACCAGGGCCTTGGATGGGTCAGAATATGCAATGCAATCCTGAGAATGTCCCACATAACTATATGGAATCTTTAGTGTGGATGTCCAGATTTAAGATTTAACATTTGGATGATGGTTTCTCAGGGTGTTTCTCCAATGTCTATCCTTATGTTGAATAAGCAGAAAGCACATCTTCTATACTCCTAAGGCCCTTTTCAGTGGGAAATGAGTAAAAGTCACTGATTTATAACCTTTTTCAGTGACTGCGCTTTCCTCCTGTGCATTTACTTCTCCAATGAAGCCAAACTTGGGGCTAAATAATTTTTCACATTTGTGGAACTGAGAAGTCCATTTTCCAGTATGGATTCTCCAGTTCTAAAGAAATATGGATTAAGGCTAGATGCTTTCCCACATTTCTTGTAGTCATAAGGCCTTGCTCTGATGTGAACTCTTTGTAAAGTGAAGTTGGAGCCTTGGCTAAAAAATTATTCACATTCAATTCACTAATCTAGCAGATGTGAACTCTGAAGTACAATAAGGCTAGAGCTTTAGCAAAACAATTTCACACATTCAGTGTACTCATAAGTCTTTTCCCAGGATGCATTCTCTGGTGCTCAACAAGTATGATTTTATGGGTAAAGAATGTACTAGAGTTGCTAAATTCATAAAATTTTGCATTAGTGTGAACCCTCTGGTATTGAACACATCTGGAGGTTTATATAAAGAATCTTGTACATCTGTTGTACAATCTCTATAATGCGAATATTCTGGTGCTGGTATATGAATGCTTTAGCCATATTCATAACACTCAAGTCTTCTCTCCAGTGTAGAAGTATGTGTTGGCTGCTGTAGGCTTTCCCACATAGGCTGCATGCGTAAGGCCTTACTCCAGTGTTGTGTTTTATGACAAACTAGGATAGTACTTCTGCTATAGGCTTTCTCACAATTCGTTAGATTCAGGTGGCCTTTATCCAATGTGAAATTTCTTGTGCTGAACAAGGTGGGATCTCCTGCTGTAGTTTTTACCACATTCATTACACTGATAAGGCCTTGTTCCTCTGTGAATTCTCCGGTGTACAAAGAGTCCAGAGCTTTGTTTGAAGAATTTCCCACATATGCTGCACTCATAAGGCCTTTCTTCACTGTGGATTCTCTGGTGCTGAACAAGCCCATCTTTCCGGCTGAAGGCTTTCCCACATTCACTGCATTCATAAGGTTTAGCTCCAGTGTGAACTCGCTGGTGTAAATTGAGGCTCGATCTATGGCTAAAACACTTCCCACATTCAGTGCACTCATACGGCTTTTCACCAGTGTGAACTCTCTGGTGTGAAATAAGGCTGGAGCTTTCTCTAAAGAACTTCCCACATTCGCTGCACTCATAAGGCTTTTCTCCAGTGTGGATTCTCTGGTGCCGAACAAGTATCACTCTGCTTCTAAAGAACTTCCCACACTCACTGCACTCATAAGGCTTTTCTCCAGTGTGGATCCTCTGGTGCCGAACAAGTTTGTTTTTTATTCTGAAGGCTTTCCCACATTCACTGCATGCATAAGGCTTTTCTCCAGTGTGGACTCTCATATGTGCAGTAAGGTAAGAGCTCTGAATAAATGATTTCCCACATTCACTGCACTCATAAGGCTTTTCACCTGTGTGGAGTTTATGGTGTCGAACCAGTGTTACTTTACTCCTAAAGAATTTCCCACATTCATTGCACTGATAAGGTTTTGTCTCAGTGTGAACTCTCTGGTGTTCAATAAAGACAGAACTCTGTCTAAAGAATTTCCCACATTTGGTACACTCAAAAGGCCTTTCTCCAGTGTGGATTCTCTGGTGCTGAACAAGCCTGGATTTGCATCTGAAGGCTTTTCCACATTCACTGCATTCATAAGGCTTTATAGTAGAGTGAACCCACTGGTGTAGGATGAGGCTGGAGCTTTGGCTAAAGAACTTTCCATGTTCATCATACTCACATGGCATCTCACCAGTGTGAACACTCTGATGTGCAATAAGGACAGGGTCTGGTCTAAGGATGTTCCCACTCTCAGTCATTTCTTCTCTGTGGATTCTCTGGTGCCAAACAAGTGCGATTTTGTGGCCAAAGAATTTCCCACACTCACTGCACTCATAAAGTCTTTCTTTAGTTTGAAAGGCTGTGCTGTAGCTAGTGCTTGTGTGTGGATTTCCTTCATTACTCCTGGCCTGGTACTGAAGATGGCTTGAGCTGCCCAGGAGATCCTCTTCATCATCTACACACATGAAAGAGCTCACTGGGGTGTGTGCTCTAGAGCTGTTAACAAACATAGCCGTCTCTTCACACCTCCTAGCATCTTTATCTTCATCATGCTGAAGGACATCTGTAAAGAACCACAGTTGCCTTCCACAGGCCTCACATGTGTGCAGCTTCTGCCCAGGGTGTATTTCCTGATGCTCACCCAGAAACAAAATGTCCTTCACCACTGGGCCACACATTCCACAAGGGTAGACTTTCTGGGTGGCAGTATCTGCATTGAGAGCCCTGACTTGTGACTTTCCTTGAGAAGATGCCACCTCAACTTCCATTGGAAACCAACAACCTGAAAGTAAAAAATGGTACTGATATATATGGAGACTGCAATGTGTATGAAAGGGTTGACCCTATCACAAATACTTGTCTTACACAATCAGGAATGAATACCCAGGACTATTGAGAGGTTATGGGAACTGAAGTCAGCAAGACAAAGGGCCTGCTATACCTAGTATGGCAAGATCATACTGTGAGGTCTGGTGAAAAGGAAGGACACAGAGGTGCGATGCTGCACACTCACATCTGTTCTGAAATGTGCATATATCATAGCACGTTATATGTAGCTTAGTCCTGGAGAACACTGCAGAGGGAATGGTGGAGAATGATGGATGCAACCTCAAAGCCAGAAAGGTGTGTCTAGTCAGGGTCAGAAGTCACTGTAGGAATGACAATGGGGAAAATGTTAAGAATAGGACTGAAAAGATGAAATAAGTCATGGCCCCATCCTTGGTATGAAAACAGTAATGGGCATTGGAGAGGTACCTGGTACCGTTAGAATCCAGCCATCGTGCACTTCTGACTTACCAGAGTTAGGCGCCCTCGAGATGGCTGGAGTGAAGTCAGCCGTGTCAGGCACCCAGGTCTTTTCCCCCACCTCCAGTTGAACCACATGAATTCGGGAAGATATAAGACCTAAGTGAAAGACATGGTGAGGAAATAACAGTAGTGCATGGTAGCCCCATCGCCCCACAGACCATGGTAAATTAATACAAAAAGAACTACAGAAGAACATCTTATAGGAATAGACTAATGGTGTGAAAACTAGTGACCAGGTCAGTACTTGCAATTCCTTGCATCAGGCAACAGGAAATGTTAGTAGGAAAAATGTGGACAGAATATGGAAGACAGAGGTATGATTCTAGACAGTGACTCTCTCCAGATGAGGCCATACTAGGTAGGATCCATCAGGCTCACTGCAAGACTCCTGCCCGCCTATCTTTTCTGGCAAGGTTTCCAGCCCTAGGTGATGGAATGGCCTAGGGAGAGAATAGTTAGCCAAGCTATGGTACTCACAGCACCTAGTAGGAAGCAGTGTCTACAGGAGGCTGTGAGAAGCAAAGATCAGCCCAGGAAGAAAAGAGGAAGGAAAGAGCCCAGGCCAAGATGGGGGAAAGTGGGATGGACTTACCTAATGAGGCCACAAGGGCAATGTTCTCCAGCATCACATCCAAGTACAGGAGTCTCTGTGTCTCATCAAGAAGCTTCCACTCTTCCCAGGAAAAGTCCACAGCCACATCCCCAAAGGTCACACTGCCCTACATGACAGGGAGAGCAGTGTCCCTGAGTAGCCTCTTTCCTTAGAAAGATCAGTCTAACTCTTGCTTTCTCTTCTCCCCAGCTCACTGCATAGGAGGTAACAAGGCTGGATGCCACTGCTGCTCTCCCTCTCTCCTCATACTTCTATTGATCACTGTGTCACCCATATCCATCAAGGCATGTGGGGAGATAAATGCCATTGAAGCTTTGAGCCTCACAGGAAGGCTCAAAGGCACGACCCCCTCTCTTTGCAGTCAATTCTCCTGGGTTCTGAATTCATGCCTCCCTGTACAAGCAAATGGAAGCTCAGTTTTCTCCCTAGAGCTCCTAGGACCAACTAAGTACCTCAGACCATAATCTCATGTTGTCATTCTGAGCACATCATTCTGTGCACCATCCCTTCCTCACAGTTCTCATCTCCTACTGCCACTACCAACCCCACTGCTCCCTAAAGGTATCTTCTCACCTTTCTACTTTCCACTCTGTACATGGCATCCAGAGAGTGCTTGGGACAGGCAACTATGACTCTATCCTACCTCAGGCCTCTGATGGCTCACAGTCCCAAGGGAAGCCTGGAGCCCTGCTTCAAAGACCTCTCTACCTTGCCCTAGTCCTTACTTCAATCTCAGTCTCTTAGAACCATGAGCAGGTAGCAGATACCTTAAATTCTCTTCCATTGCTCACCCATGTCAACCATCCTCTTTCCATCAAAGTCCTATTCAATGCCTGGCTCCACTTGTCTCCTGCCATTCACTGACTATCTCCCATTTAACTATAAACGTTATCCATGAGAATGAGTAAAGCTCTCCAGGCTCCGACACAGGTCCCATAAAAGCCTGGTGTACCTTTCAAGAATAGAATAAGCACAGGTCCTGGTCTCACTGTCACTTCATCTCCATAACTGTATTTGCTTTTTTTTTTGGTACCGGGGATCAAACTTGGGATCTTGCGCTTGCGAGGCAGACAGTAGAACCACTGAGCTAAATCCCCAGCCCTACTTCATCTCCATAACTGCCATGTTTCCACTACCATCTCATGACATTCCCCCTCGGAAGCCTTGGCCTCTTATCAGACCCACCTCCTACCCTCCTGCTCTCCCTCAGTGCTGACTGTAATGCTTACCAACTCCATGTAAGAGCCCAAGAAAGGGGCCTAGTCCTTCAGCCCTGCCCCACCATTCCACAGCTGTTACAGCTTGAATCCTCAAAGGCTAATGTACTGAAAGCTTGATCTCCAGCTGATGGCACTACTGGGAGATGAAGGATCCTTTAGAATATGGTGCTTAGCCAGGTGTGGTGGAGGCCGCCTATAATCCCAGCACTGGGGAGGCTGAGGCAGGAGGATCGCCCTGAGTTCAAGGTCAGCCCGGGCTACACAGTGAGTTTGAGGCCAGCCTGAGCTACATAGCAAGACCTTGTCTCAAACCCCCTCACCCCGCCAAAAAAATGGTATCTAGGTAAAGAAAATTGGGTCACTGAGGGCAATGCCCTTGAAAAATATGTTAGGATCTTGGCCCCTTCCTCTCTCTTCACTTCCCAGCTGCCGTTACGTGAGCAGTTTTGCTCTAGGATGCACTCCCCACCAGGATTTGGGCCTTACCACAGCCCGAAGCAATGAGGCCAAACCGCCATGGATTAAAACTTCCAAGCTTCCTGTGAAGTTCATTTTATCAGGTATTTTGTCACTGTGACAAAAAGCTAACACAGTGGCCATTAGTGGCTTTGCCACCACCACCTGAAGAGTCCCCCTCCTAAACATACCTAGTGACTTACAGCCTACCCCGGTTTACATACCTCGTTATGTCTGCATCTGAACATCCTGAACTCCAGACCCATTTGTTGAGCTATCCACTCAGTACCTCTACTTGAAAGTCTCTGGAACTTCTCAAAAACCTAACTCCTGATATTCTCTCTGAAATTCACTCCCATAACTGACTCCTTCATCTTGGTTAATGTCATGTTTTCCTTCTAGCAGGAAAAGCCAAAATCTTGCATAACTTCCCCTGAATCTTTTCCACATCAGAAAGTATAGTCGAAAAAATAAATCCAGAAGCCATAAGATTCTCTACCTCCACACCCACCACTCCTACTTAGCCAAAATCAATACTCTGGGCTGGGGATGTAGCTCAGAGGCACAGCACCTGCCTAGCAAGCTCGAGGTCCTGAGTTCAATTCCCAGTACCAAAAAAAACACACAAAAAACCAAAAAACAATCAAACAAAATCAATACTCATCTAGACTACTGCAGTAACCTCCTCCATTGACCCTGATGTCTGTACTCCACTTTGCAGCCAGGGGAAATCTGCTAACTTGTGATTCAGGTTACCTCCATCCTCTATTTCAAATGTTCCTTGGCAGCCAGGCATTTTGGCAGACATCTGTAATCCCAGCACTCAGGAGACTGAGGTAAGAGGATCACCATGAGTCCAAGGTCAGCCTGGGCTACACAGTGAGACCGACTTACAAAACCAAAACAAATAAAAATGTTCCTTGGCTCCTAATATTCAGAAAAGAGACACAAGGGAGCCAGGGATTTAGCTTAGCGGCACTGCACCTGCCTGGCAAGAGCAAGGTCCTGAGTTCGATTCCTGGTACCAGAAAAAAAAAAAAGACGAAAAGAGACACATTTGCTCAACCTGCTGTTTTGGGCTGCATCTCTATGCTCTGTTCGCAAACATAATGGAGACTTTTGGTTCCTAAACATTGCTAGCTCTGTTTCATCTACACAGTTCCCCTGTGCTTATAATACCATCTGCACAGCATAGAGGTTGCCAGAGATGATGACCTCTCTATATAACCCTCAGCCAAGATCTGAGTCCCTGAGTCTGAGGGAACCTCAGAGACCCTAGACCTCATGGCCAGAGATGTAGCCAGTATACAGTTCCAGGACACCATAATTCCAGAGACCATATGGTTGGGTGATAAAGAGGCCATGGGTCTGAGACACCTTCTACTCACCTGTGCATGGTGAGTAAGCACTTCTGCACCCATAGGTACCTGTGAAAAGAACAAGACTGTGGGCAATGGGCATCCATGGTGAGGCCGTGAGGGCTCATCCAACCCTCATCCCTGCTCTGGAGCAAGGTGGCTAACTTATGGACCTCACTCATTAGGGCACCTTTTATCAGCTGTTTGATGGTGGATGGCTCGACCTCACTATCCCTCAATGTCTTCTGTAAATTGGGGAATGTAACAGATTCAACTTTTTTTCTTTTCAGAATCAACTTCTTAAGGGCTAATGTTGGGATCAAACACATTAGTACATATCAAGTGCAAAGTACTTGCTATCTCTATCTATACAACTAGTCTTTTCCTGTTAAACTATAACTGCATTCATGATATGAACAAATCTCAGAAAATCAAAACAGTCTGATAATATTGAGTAAAGTTTAAAATATACAAAAATAATTACTATGTAATTATAAGTTATATTCACATATGATTAAAAACAATAGAAAGTAAACCAAGAAAAACACAAAATTTAGAATGGATGATTACTTTTACGCAAGGAAGAAAGACCACATGAAGCTTCAATACTGATAAAGTCTTCTTTCTCATGGTAGGTGTTAGGTTCAAGGTTGTTTGTCTTATTGTTATTTTTTATATTTTACCTGTACATTATAAATACAATTTGGTGTTGAAGGACAATGCCCACCATCCTGGTCTAAGAAGAGACCACTTTAAATTCCTTTCCCCTGCTATGCCTTTACACCTGCTGCAGATGTATGGTCATGGGTCAATCAGGTCCAGCAAGCACAGCTACACCCCATAATTCCCAGTTACTGTTTGGCCCTGCTCTTGACAAATAACACACAACTCCTTGTAAAAAACCAGTCCTGGCCAGATAGCCACAGCTCCTCTGTACTGAACTCTCCCCCGTGGAAGTCCCATTGTGACCTTTCCCTTCCACAGCCCCCTTTTTTTATGCTCATGACCCTATAAAGACTTTATACTCTGTATGACAGTTACTGGTCTGGTCTCTAGAGCCAGAGTAGTCCCTTGGGTTTGTTCTGAGTAAACCTGTCCTGTGAGCTCAAATCCCTGATTCTTTTCCTAACAGGTGTGATTTCAATATAAATTAAAATAGCCACAAAACAGAGCTCTCTCAGATGGTAATTAATCATTACTGTATGTGTACATTTAGAAGTTTTTGTCTTTGAGTATTTTAGTTACCGTTAAGCATTTAAGAGAACGTGACTTTTAAAACTAGGTTAGTATGTTAATGTACTGCTTAGTGGCATATTAAGATATGAAACAAATGCTAAATGTTCCTGTAACTTTAATTTCTTTAAGTATATTGTCAATTTCTTGTTAACTGCCAATATGCATACATGTAGAATATTAATTTCTTACTGTTGAAAAGCTTCATTCAACTTAGGTCTCTGCTTTCTTTAAGTCTCTGCTTTCCTTAGAGAATTTACTGAAGGAAACTTAAATTGTAAATTCTAAGTCTTGAAATGGATTTAAATTTTCTCCCAGCCTCTGGCTAGTTTTACAACTCATTAAATACTTTTCTCAGTGACCTGGGAACCGTTGCTTTCAAACACAAACATGGAAGACAGCAACCCTACCTCCCAGTCTCTGGGTGGATAGGAGTCTAACTTCAATGGATGTCAATTAGCAAACACTTATGGGTTAGTCTGGGAGAAAAACATCTACAAACTCAGGAATAACTCGATGTGGTTCACAGATCCCACCGGTCAACCTCCCCATCCCACCTACTCCAGCACTTTTCTGCTAGCCCACCCCAGTGATTAGAAACCCTCCCACCTTTGTTTCAACAGTGTTTAGCTTAGTACCTCTCCTACTGCAAAACTCTCAAATAAAACCTTATTTGCCTCTGTTTCTTCCAGTAAAATTTTTACTTTGGCTCTCTTCTACTGACAGACATCACCACAGGGACAGAGGACAAATTCCTGGACCTGATACTCATTAAAAGCACTGCATGAGAGAATTTGTCCTGAGGTTTCAGGATGACACCTGAGGAGCTATCTCCACAAATCAAGCAGGTCCTAAACATTTTAGATCAAAGGACAGCCTCTAAATTGCTCTTTTAAATCTTCCTTCTCTATCCTTCCCTCACCTCTCACTCTCAAATCCTAAGGGCAGAAGCTTGGACTCCCTAATGCCATGGCTTCACATTTTAGGGTGGCTGGGGGAATCCTCTGGGCTGTTCATATTCAAGTGGCTATTTGGCAATAGTTAATGTTATCCTTGGGACCTAGGAGAGCCTTTGTACTCAAACATAGAAGAAGCCCACTGGCTTTTAACTTTTTTTCTTCTCTTCGCTAAAACTCACTTCCTTTCTTCCTCTTCTGTTCAGAGGCTTTCATCTGTAATGTTAATTTGTAGGGAAAAAGGGGAGCAAGCAGAGCAGTGGTAGTACTTAAAATGAGGGTCAAAGAGAAGTTAAGTTCTCTTGTTTCTTTAATCTGTAAATTGGAACTCAAAAAAATCTGTTCTCCTTCCCTTTGCCTCATAGAAAGCATAGATACAGTCCCCAGGGGAGGAGCATAGAGGGAGGGAATATCCCTGCAAATAAACGTGAAACAGTCATAACCTGGGTCCGGCCTGTAGAAAAAGGCCCCCTCTCCAGAGGTCCCAACGGTAACGTGCGATCAGCCTGGTGGGGGAGGAGGGTGTGCTCTGATGTTCCTCAGGTGTGCAGATGCTATCAGGAGAGAAAGTGGCTCATGCCTGGGTCACTGGGTCACCATCTACGGCCTTGGCTCCAGTGCACCTGGATCTCCTCTCCTCCTACCTAAGCAGCAGCTCCAAGCTCAGTAGGGAAAGAGGAGATGAATATTCGCACCAGGCCATGCTCCAGAGATGTATTCTAGAGACAGATGTGTGTTGCCACAACCTCCAACCTCCCCAAGAAGGGCTCATTTTCCACCAGCCTGGGCTGTCTGATTTAGGTCAGTGGTGGCAAACCACTGTGTGCCACGGCGGGCTGTTTGTATCACTGAAAGCTCTTTGCCATCACTGATTCAGGTTAATGTGTATGTTCCTGTGTGCTACTTTCAGGTACATATATCTACAAATTACTCTCCAGAAGTTCTGTTTAAGTTGACTTGTGAATAAGTGCATATTCACGTAAGTAGCCCAGAAACCTTTTGTTCACATGACTTAACAAACAAGTTAATTTAAGTTGGTCGGTAAAATAAAAGTAAAAACGTCACTAAAGTTACATACACTTTGCCTAGGTTACTAACTAATCAGGATAGTATTTGCCTTTGTTAAATGTTTAAGGTAGAGTGTCCATTATTTTCTATATTTTAAGTACGAGAATTTTAAGGTTTTTCTTTGGCTGAAAATATATGCAAAACTTCAAAATATTAACTCTGCTAGTCTCTAACATCTTGGTTCTCATAAATAATCTCAAATAATTGTTAAAATAAGTACATAAAATGGGGGGGCGGGGATTTAGCTCAGTGGTGCTGCTGCCTGCCTCGAAAGCTTGAGGTCCTGATCTTGATCCCTGATACCAAAAGGGGGGGAGATTAATCCTTACAAATGTTTATAAAAGCAACTAAGTTGTTAAATATAAATTCAATATTCTTGGCTTAAAGTTTACAAAAAGACAAAATGTTTGAATCTACTAAATGTGTTTTAAAAAGTTTAAGATTATTTAAGGTTACTAAGAGTTAAAATTCTAATATATAATTCTGTATTTTAAAATTATAATTTAAATTTCCCAAGGGAGTACCAGATAAAACTATCCCCCTCCCTGGCTGAAAACCAAGCTGCTTGAACCAATTTGCTTCAGTTTTCTCCAATGATGGGGGACCCTTCTGGTTTGCCCCAGTTTTATTGCACCCTACCCCAACAAATATTATTTTTTAAAACTGTTACATGTGATTGAGTTGTCTATAATTAAGTTAGTAGATCATGGTGGTACAAGCCTATAATCTCAGCACTTGGAGGCTGAGGCAAGAGGATCACCGAGTTTGAGGCCAGCCTGGGCTATATTTCAAGACCTCATAAATAAATAAAATTAAAAGGTTTATAGTTTTCAAAATTCTTATACAGACAAAACTTTCTTAAAATATTAATCTGCTCTTGGTAAAAACTGATAAAAACTGGACTGTAAAACAAAGCTTTTATATTTTATCAAGATAATTTTCTGTATTTTCTGCTACTGGGTTTTTAATTACTTTTTTAAAAGTTTTAAGGAAGTTAAATTTATTTAAATGTCAGTTTGTTATAAAGTCAATTGTATTCATCTGAATACTAAATTTACTAGTCTAAGTTTTGTCAAAGTTTAGTATATAAACTTAAATGTATGAAAGTTTAATACAAAGCAACTAATAACCGCTCTTTTATACAACGTACATTACATCTAAACATTAAACATATATAAAATGATCAAAACCTTTTTCATCTCTGCTTTGTATTTGATACAATTCAGCCCTGCCATTTAAAACTTATTTCTACATATAGCCAGGCACGCTGGAGCGCACTGTGGGAGGCCAAGGCAGGAAGATCACAAGTTCCAGCCCAGCTGGGGCAACTTAGTGAGACCTGGTCTCAAAATAAAAAATAAGAAAAATGTCTGCAGATGTAGTTCAGTGCAAAGGCCCTGGATTCAATCCCCAGTACCACAAAAACAAAAACAAAACAAAACCCCAAACAACAACAACAACAAAAACCAAAAAAACTTGACCTACATCTACTGGCTCTGACTAAACATTTTTTTTAATTGTATAAATGAGATACACTTGTTTTCTGGGTAAGTCTCTCTGTGGTCATTAACAATTTCCTAAACTTGTAGAAGACCTAAAGCTATCCTTTGACTTTTGTCAGTGCTATTAGCCTATGTACACCTAATAAAGGGTTCTACATTTTGCTTCAAGAAACAAAACCTGGGCCGGGGATTTAGCTCAGTGGTTCCACTGCCTGCCTCACAAGAGCAAGGTCCTGAGTTTGATCCCCGGTACCAAAAAAAAAAACCCTGAGCATGTGTATGTGTGTATATCTGTATAGCTATATAAAATAAAACCCACAGTATTTACAGCCAGATTCACAAAAGAAGAACTCTAACAAATACTCTTGGATACAGCTTCCTACATAAAGCTACTATCCCCAACTAACACAGGTCTCACTGTGCCTTGGTCCTAAACACCCAGCAAAAAAGTACGTGCAAAAGGTAAAATAATTAATAGTAATATAAGAATAGAGCTAAACTGAATATAAAAAGGAGCTTTAAACAGAACACCAGCCGTCACTGGTAGTCTCCAGCCACCCCTCTAACATGTTAACCAACAGCCATTAGAGGTCCATATGCCCAATCCCACTAACTTTTTCAAAAATATGTCCTTCAACCTATCTTAGTATATTTCCATGTGTCCCCGCCAAGGAACATATTTATCCCTTGGGTAAACATCTGGCTTTTTGTATAGGTCTGCCATATTGATAAAAATGCCAGTATAAACCAGGCATGGTGGTGCATGCCTGTAATTAATATTAGCATTCTGAGAGACTGAGGTAGGAGGATTCCAAATTCAACTTCAGCCTTGGTAATACAGGGAGACTTCTTGTCTCAAACCAAGAAAAGATCTGGGGATACAGCTTAGTGTGAAAGCCCTGGGTTCAATCCCCAGGACTGAGGGGAAAAAAAGGTAAAAAGGAGATAATGAAAATTGTAATGTTAAAACTGTTAAAGTCAGGTGTTATGGCACGTGCCTGTAATCCTAGCACTTGGGAGGCTGAGGCAGGAGGATTGCCTCGAGTTTGAGGCCTGCCTGGGCAAAACAGTGAATTCAAGGCCAACCTGAACCACACAGCTAGGCCCTGTCTCAGAAACAAACAAAACTGTTAAGAACTGCAGCTTCAGGACACAAAAGTTACTCAAGCCTTTTTCCTTTCCAGGAAACTCAATCCCCACACACTTTTTTTCTAAGGGTCTTAAAAACACATTAACCCTGGGCTTGTGATTGTCACCTGTATATTACACTTCCTCCCACAGAAAATGGGCATATCTCAACTTCAACCACAGGGGATTTGCATTCTAACACAGCCTGCCAGTTGGGTAACCTGACAGATGGTAGGCATATACATCCAAGATTACCCACTTGACTACATACCTAAGTCTACATAGTGTGCCTCTCTCAAGGGCCCGCACACTATTCTGAGTATGTACCTGTTTAATTCTGCCTTTATACCTCTCACTGACACATCTTGGAAATTCTTTTTCTGTGAGGGAAGTTATCGAACCTTCAACCTGTTCCATGGGTGAGGTGAGCTGAAGTTCCCCATCTCTGCTTTGCGGGACCTCCTTGGACCCAGTGCAGTGACAGCACAGTTTGTATTTCCTTCAGAAGCAGTCAGGGACTTAAAAAGACAAACGTTTTTGTAAAAAAACAAAACAAAACAAACCCCAATCACTGACTCTTTGATTGGGCCTACAGAGATATCCGATAAAGCAGAACAAAGCTTGACCTTTATTTTGTACCCTTTGTTATCTTAAAACTTTGGGTCAAATCCCTTTCCAGCACTGTATATAGGAATGTTAATCGTCAGTCTAAATGTTGGAAAAACAAGTCGATTGTTCCTCAATTTACATAATTTCATCCCCTTTTAAGACAGAATTTCAAGATAAGGGATTTACAGGGACATTGGACCATGCCTAGAAGTCTCCAAGTCATCAAGTTTCCAAATCGATTGCCCTAAATTGAGTGTCACCATGGCTTCCAGTAGTCTCACAAGATTGAGACTGTTCCAAGCAAAAATAATCATCTAGGGCCAGGATTTGGCTCAGTGGTTCCAATGCCTGCCTCGAAAGCGCAAGGTCCCAAGTTCGATCCCCAGTACCAAAAAAAAAAAAAAAAAATCATAATCATCATCTAATGGAAATTTAAGTGCCCCCTCAAGCAAACGGACTTCTCCCGGAGCCATGGCACAGAAGGGGCCATTGAGATCATGAACAACCAGCCTCTAGTCCAATCCAGAAAAACCTGTCTTGGTTTTTCTATAGGCCAATTTAAGCCACCTCTTCAAATCTGTGCCACTATAAGTTTCTTAAACTGAAGCCTTTGCCTATCTTCTCTTTTCATTATGGGGCCAGCATAAAAGAACTTTGTCAGTTTCTCAAGCTTAATTAAGTCCCTAACTTTTCTTACAGTCCAATTAAATCTTTCCCCTCCTTGCAAATTCCTGCTTCAGTATTAACTTGCATTATCAATGAAGCAAGGACCTGCAGCAGCCGGTGACACTATGGCTCAGGCCTACACCACAGCAATTATTCAGGAGTCTGCAGCCGTAGCCTCCTCAAGGTCTCTTAACTTTCACTCTATCGCTCCTCTCCCCAGTCCTTGGCAAAAACCTTAAAATCTATGGAAACCTTTTAAAATCTCAACTCAGCGAATCTCTCGGTTAATATCCCCCAAGGATAACCCTTCACAGCATCCTCAGAATGTGGGCCTAACCGCACAGGGAGCCGAGCCACGTGTGACTCACCCCCCGCACCCCACCTCCCCCCCCAACTCAGGCTGCCAAACCACGCGTGACTCATCCCCCTCTCTGCCTGCCAAGCCACGTGTGACTCATCCCCTAGCAATCTCTTTCCTAAAAACAGGAGACAGGCCTCAAGTTCCTTAAAGCTCCACGCAATCCCAACTCCAGCCTCTTCACATGCCGGCCCCTTCCACTCTCCAGCTCGCGGAGTGACAGAAACGGGGAACGCAACCAGGAGCGCGCCACCTCCTGACTGAAAGAAAAATGAGCGCGTGCGCACCATCGGGGTCTTTAGGATTGGGGGGGTGGGAGTCTAAACCTATTAGATCGGTTTAGGGGACGCAATACTAACCTGAGCCGGGTCCTTCCGGGCAAGCGTCACCATCAAAGCCTGTAAGTGGGGGTAAAGCCAGGAGAGGCAGACTCTATCAAAACCGCTGTCACGCCGCAGCGCCCTCGGTAATCCTCAGAACCGCCTCTGTCAGCGGGGACAACACTGGCTCTCCGGTCGTCCTGATCACTATCTCGCGCTCCACTGACCGCTGAAAAAGAGCTCGGAGTTGACAGACACCAGAAAGACCAAGATGACTGTCACCAGGTGTGCGCCGGAAGTTCCGCCTTGACGCACGTCGATCGCACGGAAACGCCCTTTCATTGGTCGAACTTCGCAGGCGTGTGGCGCACAGTCCTCTGGGTAATGTAGTCCCCGAAGGACAAAGGCCTTGGCTTTGTGGACTACCAACTACAAGCGGAGACATCCAGAAGGGCTTTGAGAAAGACGGACTCGAAAGTCCAAACAGTGAACACACCTCTTTTTTGTTTCCCAGTGCTGTGCATTGAAGAAGGACCTTCGCTGTGAGCTACATCCTAGCCCTTTTTTTTTTTTACTTGAAGACAGGGTCTTGCTAAATTCCCCAGAGTGGGGTTTGAATTTGAATTTGTAATCCTGTCTCACCGTCGGAGAGTACTAGGACTTCAGGCTGTACCCCACGCCTGCTGATCTCACGCCTCTTACAGAGCTTGGTGGCACAAGCCTGTAATCCCACATTCCAGGAGGCTAAATTCGAGCCCAGACTGAACAATTGAGTGACTTAGCGAGACCCTGTCTCAAAATTATAAAGGTCTGAAGATGGATGTAGCTCGATACAAATGCCCTGGGTTCAAGTTCAATCCCCAGTGCTTGGAAGAAGAAAAAGAATAAAGAAAGGAAAGGAAAGAAACAAAAAGACACACTCAGATTTCCATGCAGTGTAGTCTGCAAAGGATCACTCTCTGCAACGCTGCCTCAGCCTCCTGAGTGCTGGAATTACAGGTGTGTGCCACCACCCCTGGCTTTGTGTTCAGATTTGAGCCCACTCCAAATGTTTGAAGTCATTATTTCATGTACTGTTCAAGTTGTAAAATCAAATAAGCATGCAATATTTTAATGCCATTCTGAAATAAACTTGCACCCCCTGTTAACTGGAAGTTAATATTTTCCTGTTTCTCTTCAAATATGTGGAGGGTGAAGATGTATGATTTAGTTTTGTCACCTTCAGTACATTTGAAGCCGATGGGATAGATGTTGGGTCTGGGTTGTGGACCAAGATATCACTTTGACACTAATTCTGACAGAAACTTTCCAACATGTGAAGCCATTGTTTGTGTTCAACCCAGAAGGAACACTGTTTTATCTAAGTAGTATTTCTTACTTGATGGTCTTACATATTTTAAAGAAAAAAAACAGAACCAGACTATACTTAAAATAGTAAAAGCAGAACCAGTCACGGTGGCCCACACCTGTAATCCCAGCACTCAAAAGGCTGAGGCAAGAGGATGACTAAGTTTGAGGACAGCCTGGGCTACATAGTGAGTTCAAGGCCAGCCTGAACTACATAACGAGTCCTTGTCCCAAAACAAACCAAAAAAATCTGAACACAACAAGTGTTAGTTTGGATTTATAGAAAAGGAGCAGGACAAGGGTCAGTGGATAGAAAATCGCTAAGAGAAAACATCAAGAATCATCAGAGAGGCATTCCATTTATTTATTTATTTTTAGCAAAATATTTATTGGTACATTTTAGGCATACATAATGGTAGCGCTCATCATAGAGAATTTGCACCTGTACATGATACACCCCATCTCTTTTTTCCCATTTTCCCTTCCCCTCAAGGCCCCTCCCCTCCCTATGTACAAAAGCTTTGTTTCCAGTTTTCCTTCTAATTTCACTTTTTTTCTTGTCCCTTCCTTCCTTCCTCCTCCCTTTTTCCCCTTCCCATTTGAACATTTTCTTCCCATTTCCCAATATCTATTATACATTTTAGTCCTTATTTCCACTTCAGTTTCTCACACCAGAGAAACAGTGAAGTATTTAAACATGTGTGTCCGATTTATTTCACTTAAGAGAGTATGGTCTCAAGGTCCATCCATTTAGCTATAAATGTCTGAAGCTCATCCCTCTTTATGGCAGAGTAGTATTCCATTGTATAAAAAAACACATCTTTATCCATTCGTCAGTTGATGGGTATTTGGGCTACTTCCAAGATTTAACTATTACAAACTGTGCTGCTATAAACATGGGTGTTCATATATCTCTGTGGTGTGATGCTTTCAATTCTTTTTTTTTTTTTAATGGTACCAGGGACTACTGAACTCAGGTCCTTGTGCTTGCGAAGCAAGTGGTGGAACCACTGAGCTAAATCCCTGGCTCAGATGCTTTCAATTCTTTTGAGAAGATACGAAGAAGGGGAATGGCTGGGTCAAATGGAACCTCTAGTTATAGGTTTTTGAGGACTCTCCACACTGATTTCCACAGTGGTTGCACCAGTCTACACTTCCACCAACAGTGGAGAAGAGTTCCTTTTCCCCCACCCCACCCCTAGCATTTGTTATTGGCTGATTTCTTGGTAGCAGCCATTTCTGGGGTGAGATGGAATCTCAGAGTTGTTTTAGTTTGTATTTCTCGAATGACCAGTGATGTTGAACATTTTTTCATATATTTATTTGATGTTTCTACTTCTTCATCTGAGAATTGTCTGTTCATTTCAGAGAGGCACTCAATTCAAACAGACCCAACAGGATTCTTGCTGAAAGCAGGCCAGGGTGATCCGATATCACCTGGATGGTGTGAGATGAGGACCTTGATCACTCATAAATGCAGGTTGATCAGATATATGCAGTGGAAAATTATGGCTAAACTGATGTAGCAAGATTCTTGCTACATCTACATCTAGGCAACAGAGGCCCAATAAGGAGGAACACCAAGGCTCAAGCTTATAGTACTTAAAGGTACCTGACTAAAATTTAGTGAAGAACAGTCTTTTTCTATCCTTGCTCTTGTCAGAGGGAAAAAGAGACATTCTACTTTCCTTTAAACCATCTATTTCTCAGTCAGTCACCCTTTAAGAACCAGCTGAACCATCTATTGAGACTTGATAGTAGGGAAATTTTGCCGGTTGTGAAAGTCGGGTAAGCAGTGAAGGGGGTTTCTATGAAAATAATTTTTCAAGAAAGGTTAATGGTTGGATATTTGTAGCATGACTATCTATTGATGGGATTGCATGTTCCCATAAAATTTTCTGAGTAGCCTACACAGTAGCATGCACAAAGGTCGCCAGTACACAATCTGTTGTGATTTCTCTGAAGTTTATGTCAAGTCATCTAACTTCAGCTTGTAGGGCTTTTGGAAAGGAAGAATTTTAATTTTCAGTGATGGCAAATTAGTAGAGTAGGAAAAAATCGGAGCACTAGTTACTGACAAAATGTGTTACAAAGCATAACTTAAAATAGAATTTACCAAGAAATAAAAATAGCTCAAAGACTATGAACAAGTTTGTGATCTTATTACCCAAAAGTTGCACTATAGTTTCCTATTGAAACAAGTCAGTCTACAATCACCACCCATTGGACTTTTATTTACAAAATATAAGTCTGATTTCTTTTAGAGTTGGCCTCATTATTTACATAAATTCAGAAGAATGGTACAGAACATATAGGCCTTTTAAAATTTGCCTTACTGGAACATTTAATAAGGAATCCAAGATTAAACTTTAAAAGCTTTTTGAGGCTGGGAAGATAATCAAGAACTTGTCAATAGATTTAACCTTCAATATCTATAGACCTGGTGAATTTCTTCCTGTTTCCTGGGCCTTACAGGAAGTGACCTTCACTCATCTGTAACCGGAAGCGCAGTAAGACAGAGACTATTGGGTTGGTTTTTCCAAGAGAACCTTGTAAGCATATCTCCATAAGTCTATCTTAAATCATTACAACTGTCTCATTGTAATCTGATTTTATACATCATTCTCAAAAATGATCTTTCAGTCAAAGCCTAAATATAATCAGTGTTTCCAATTATGTCCTGTTGCAGTAATAACAGATTTTTATTGAACTTATGCAAGTAATTATATTGCAAATAATTAGAGTTCTACTTGAAGCACAGAGCAGAGTGGAGAGTGGATTTGTTGGTACAAAGGAATAGTTGCAGCACAGGTGGTAATCTCCATAATGAAGCCATGGAAAATCTGAAGAGAACGGTCTTGATAATCTTGTAGATAGAAGATTAGTTTAGTTTAAATTTTTTGAGCTTGAGATAACTTCAGGAATGTATATGAATATCACACTAATAATAAAACATAAGCATTATTTACTCTTTTCCACAAGGGCCTACACTGCCAATTTGAGAAACCTTGATCTAGATCATATATACAATATTTCAATACCTTTTTTTCTTTTTTGGTATATGTGGTACTAGGGCTTGAACTCAGGCCTTCACATTGAGCTACATCCCCAGCCTCTTTTTAAAATCTTTTTCTGTCGAGACAGGATCTTGCTGGTCTATCCGAACTTTTAATCTATAGCTACCTAGACAGAGCCTCAGAGCCATAATACAGGAGCAGACCAGGCCCTTCCAAGATAGAGACTAGACTCTCTGTGAGAACCAGAAATGATAGACAGGCTTGAGGACAGGGCAGACGGCTGTGCTGTCTCTAGGGGTGACTCATGCACTCCAAAGAGGCCAGGAGAAATACCAGTCCTAAGGCAAAGAGGAGACAACTTATGGGACAAGAGTATCATGGAGAGCAAAAAGCTGAAGCCTCTTTAGGCGGTTGTCACTGATAACGTGAGCACCACCACCACCACCATCAGGTAGCTCAGTGCTCAGGCCCCTGCTTCCTCTGAGATTGTCACTAAGCACCTCTCCAAGTCCTAGACTCAGGTGCTCTTTCTGAGGCCACCCTGGAGAGATTAATGGCTAGGGCATGATGAGCTGGGACTTGCCTTGATGTCGCACTCCACCCACATGAGCCCTGCCTGCCAAACAGGTTTTGTTTTATTTTTCT